TTTTTTGGTTTTTCTCCGGTACCAGGAACCGAACTCACGACCTTGCGCTTGCCAGGCAGGCGCTTTTGCCGCTGAGCTAAATCCCCAGCCCCCCAGTCTAGTTTTTAAACAATGGTAATATTAATGTAACCAGACTTCCAAGATCCTCAAGCAACCAGAGTTGATGAGCATTTATTACATGTATATGTATTGTGAGTTAGTTTTCATCAGCAATTTTTTACATAAAAATGTCCTTGAAAATGAGAAGCTTTATTAAAGTAGCAAAAGAGATAAAAAACTTTAAGTGTGTTTGGTCTATGTCTATATCATTTCATTTATCAAAAATTTCACTTACTGATAAATCTACTAATTTATGTGAATAAATTATAAGATTATGTCTGATCTGTATTCCTCTTAGTGTGAGTTTTTATACATTTCTTTCCAGAAATACTAATGTGTTTCATTACAGGATACAGTCTCATACCCATTCTGGAGTATTATAAACTACATATGTATCATATTCCAAAGAATTTCAATACCTTTCTAAATTTAAAAAATTCTCACTCTGAAAACACATTTAGTCTCCCAAAGTTTGGAGAAAAGATTGTGGACCTATAATACTTACCTTAGAAATTTGTTTTGCAGATCTAACGAGATAATAAATGTAAAGTAGTGCCTGGCACAAAATAAATACTCTTTATGTATAGTCACTATTCCTATTATTTCATTACTCTACTCATTTAGAATTTAGGACAAGATCTTTCTGATGTTGAAGATCATAAATTGACCCAACATTGATACTAAGATAAGCATGCTTCAAATTTTATGACCTTAACAGATGCCTTGACAATGAGCATATAATTCATACTTTAATATTTCCTAAATCTTTATCCAAGAGATAGAAACATTTCCTAAGTCAGAAGATAGAAAGTATTATGAGTTACATTGTTAATAAAACTTGTAGTTAGCTGTTATTTTATTGATCAAAGAAATATAGCTGTTTATCTGTCCATTAACCATTTCCTCAACTTTCTCTGCTACAAACATCACATAATTCATTTACTATCCCTTGTAATCCAGAATTCCTACTAGTTTAAGACTTTGAACATACCCGAATGAATAAATAAATTGATGATTCTGTTTTATAAATAAGGCTATTATTAGCCTCATGAATGTAAATTGATGCCCTTAAGCTCATCTTTGCTTTGGTGTTAACTATTTATTGTGTTATATAGTAAGCCTTATGGGGCAGAAACCATGTATTCACTCATTCCTGTCCTCTACTCTGTCCTCACCATTGTGTAGCAGCAGACATATAACATGAAAGAGGATACACATGCATTTAAGGATCAAACTATATTCACAGGTTTTTGGCCAGATTATTTGTATTTAATACCATATTCTGAGATTTTGTTCCTATCAATCGTGTTTGATCTGATAAAAACCAGATCTCTAGACTGCATCCAATTTACCCTCCTTCTGAGACTTCTTACTTGCAGATGCTGGAGTGAGCATTATTCTTGCAGGGCCTGCACAAGACTAGCCTTCTCTATTATCCCTCTATCCCTCCATCATAATTGTCCCTCCTATTTCTCATTAGTTCATACTCCAACTGTCTGCTAGCTATTCTTATAAAGTGTAGGAAGCCTCACCATCATGTGAATTCATAGGTGATCTAACTGGTGATTAGCTTCCTTTCTCCACTCAGTACTGTTCTTCAGTTGGGGTGAGCTAGAGTGGGACAGAAAGAGGCATGATAGGGAAGGGGGAATCCCAGCAGGCAGGAGAACAACAGCAACTCTGCCTTGGTAAGTAGGAGTGTGGAGGGTAGTCTTCTGTTCTCGGTATTATTCTTTCCAGTCTCATAGAATGTAATTGAGCCAACTTCCAACTCATGAAGATGCCTGGAATCACTTTGCTGCCCTAGAAATCTCAGCCAGGCAGTAGCTAAAAGTCTGCCCTATTGATATTTAAACCAAAGTGAACCACAAACCACCAGGTGATACTAAATTTTGTATTGTGAACTATATCCTACAAATTAATCTTATATAATATAATTTCTGGACCTCATTTACCAAATTATATCAGGTTTTTTTCTGTACTTTTTACAAAATTCTAATGATGCTCTTCCTCCCACAAACAATACACTTTACATCAGCTGTTCATTACTTGGGGATAGTGTTATCTGGAGTGTGAATTTTAATTGGTAGGTAGTGGCTGCCTGAATACAAGTTTGAGAATTTGGAGCCATGTCCTGGCTTAGTCAGTAGGTGGTAATCATCTGTTAGTTTGCCTTTGGTGTAGAAAGTACAATAGAAATGGCAAAATTGATACTATCTATCCCCATGGAAGTCTTACATCATTCCTTCTCATCTTTGCTTCAGACCTGCTGCTTCTGCTGAATTAGTTTAGTTTATAGGTGATATCATAACCTTGTATCCTTATTTGGTATTATGTTGCACCACATGGGACCCCTTCTGCTTTACATATGCAAACAACAACAATTTATGTGGCAGTCACAATTAAAAGACTGATGTTGGAGGGGGTAATTTGACAAAGACACTTAGCCTTAAACATTACAGTCTTTAAAAATCCAGTTAAAATGAACCTTGTGGTGTTGGATTTGGTGGCTTAATGTATTAGTATGAACTCATTGTTTTTAACATCTGTAAGCAGGTTGATACAGAAATATCAATAAGTATATATACATGGGTCATATATAGTATATATTTGCATATGTTTGAGACAGCCTAGAAGCAAAGTGTCCCCAGAAGTAATAAGCATACTTAAATTCTAGATATGGTTTCTAAATACCATTTTCCAGTAAAAGTGACTAGAGTTCCTTATAAAAGTGATTACTCTCAAACAGAGCAGGAAAAGAATGAAACTGAACATCTTGTGCTGAGGGAAAAATTGTGGGATTTGTCAAAGGTACATAGGAATCAACATAAAGAATCTCTTAATGTCCAAGCCTGTTACAATCTGAGCAGGAAAATGAATAATGATCATATAACCAATATGGCAAAAGAAATCTACCTGAGACAATGTAGTTAAAAATAAACAATTGATTATTTACCCCCAATAAGAGGAGGGCAGCTCTTTCTTACAGTGAAGTTGCAATTAATTAATATATATAGAGAGAGAGACAAAGAAATATTCACTATTAAGTAAATATCACAGTGATAACTGCAGCTGTCACAATATACTTAGGTCTGCTAAAACTAGCTAAAATTTGAGGAGAAACACTGCATATCGAGTTATCTTCAATAGATATTTAACTATCCAAAGAAAAACATAATAACTTTACAGTGGAGAATGGAAGAAACTTCCTTAAGTAACAGCTCAACATCACCAGTAATAAAACATCATGAATCCTTATGTGATGCACTAAAAAGGACACATTATCATTTTGGTAGTATTCTTGCCAAACGTGCATACTTTGTCCAATCATGAAAAAATCCAAGTTGAGAGAAATTCAACAAAATGACTGATCAATAATCATTAAAGGTATACACATCATGAAAGACAAGGAAGACCTGAGGAACTATTGCAGAATAGAGGAAATTCAGAAGAAAGAACAACTAAATGTAATTCAGGATCCTGAACAGAATTCTGGAACACAAAAAGAACATAAGGGGAAAAATGACAAAATTTAATTCAAGCCTGTAGTAAATAGTATTATACCAGTGCTGATTTCCTGGTTCTAGTACACTGCCATGATTATAAAAGATTGTAGGGAAGCTGCGTAAGAGAAATATGAAAACTGTAATATTTTTACATCTTTTCCATACACTTAAAGTTTACTCAGGAAAGAAAGTTAAGAATTTGGTTTGTTTTGTTTTGATGAAATACTATTCACCACGCTATCTAAAGGGAACCACTCCTTTCTAACCTCTGTTCTATACGGATTCAAGCCTCCAGCCGTGGTGCACAGATCTGTTCACTACAAGCTTCTCATCCTGCCCTGCATCCTTCTGCACAGTTCATCCATCTCAATTTACAGAGTGATTGGTCATTCCACACATTAACCGGGGACCTACCTTTGTCCTTCAAAAGACTTTTTAATGTAGGAACAAACGGTGTGCTATTCCTGGTCCCTCTCTTTGGAGGCCCAGTGGGACCACAGAACCTTCATAATTGTAGCCTTTCTTCCTTTCTCCTGGACCTGAGATAGAGAATCATAATATAGATTGATTTCTTATTGATGTAAATTATGTCACCATCAGCC